GTTAATCAGGTATAAGTATTTAAAGTTATACGATGAGCACTCGGGCCTGACCCCTCAAAATATTAGTTCATTATTTGACACATTAAATTAACTTTACCAACAAGTTCATAATTCGAGTTTTATTCATAAAAATTCTCAAAAAATTAATATTCTGATTTAAAGTATAAAAATTAAAAAAAAAATTGGTGAAGTCACTCTGCTGTATTCTAAGTGTTGAGTGTATCTCGTCATTGAGTATGCCAATGTAAAAAATGTGTTAATTTAAATTTAATGATAAATCATGGCATACGAAAAATGATTCTGAGAAAAGTGAAGGTTGATAAATGTGTCAGCTGATATTCCTGTTTTTTTTGTTTTTCCCGATTATTTTGAAAAGTACATTGTAAAGCCAAATAAGCCAATACATTCAGTAACCACTCCGCTCAGAACTTAAAAATAATATGTTGTCATTTTGAAAATAGAAACTTAAAATTCAAAATAATAACAATCAAAAAAATAGTAAAAATATATAAGTATATATTTTTTTTAAATTTGTTTGTAATTTTGACTTCAAATTATGTTAATAAAAATATTTTAAAAAAATCAATACTTTTTGAGATAATATTACCTAGGGTCAGTGTTGGGGAAGTTACTTATTTTTGGTAATTAAATTACATTACTAATTACTTATCAAAATTGTAACTAAATTATTTTTAAGTTACTTTTTTTTAATTTGGTTAAGTTACATTACTTTTGAGTTTAAAAAGTAACTGAATTACAATAGAAGTTACTTTTTTTCAAAAATATCACTGGAGCTTAATAATCATGTTGTCAATATAAGAATACATAAACTAAATAGATAATGACAATCAAAAATATGAAATTATTAACGGATGATACTTTTCTTGCAACACTATTATTATTATTTTTTTATTGAATTTAAGCCCGGCAACTATGGTCATTAGCTGTTGTACGGGATTATGAACTGTGTTTGGTAAGGTTGGTATGGTAAGGTGCTGTTACGGTTTTTACGGTTGTTACGGTATCTATGCAAACACGTGTTAGTTTTTTACTACTACGAATCCGGGCGGTCACCCATCCAGGAACTAGTAGCAGCGGGCGTAAGTTACTATCAGTCGTATTGCCAAGTCACACATTTATTTATTAATTAATTTTTTTTTTCTTAACTAACCCTCAGCAACGTAGAAAATTGGGTGGTTTTTAACCGTGGGGGAGGATACTGTAGGTTTTTGTAAACACGTGTGTTTAAGCTTGGCAGAATTTCAAATTGGGCACCCGTAGGTGCCATTCCCGGTCGAGGGATGGCGGCCTCTCTCTCCAGACAAATGTCTGCCGGAGAGAAATTCAGCCCGTGACCGAGATTCGAACCGGCGAATTTATTGATAGTTCCAACAATGCTGTATGAGCCTTCCGCGACGATACAACACAGAGTAAAGATAAGAATTACATTCTAAAAGTAACACTTTATAGTCGAATAGCCAACAGTGGCGCACACTGGAGGGTTCAAGGGTAGCAGTTGCTACCCCTGATTTTTTTGGTAGGTGGGTGGGTGGACCCCCTGGCTCCAAAATATTTACATCATGAAAATTCTACTACTTATAAAAATATTGAAAATAAACTATTGAATAATTATAGGCTATAGCCATTAGTCTATTAGCCAATATAGAGGTAACCAAATTAATTTGCTACCCCTATTTATTTTTGAGTGTGCGCCACTGATAGCCAATAGCTATAGCAAAATTATTACAGTTTAGACAATTTTACCTATAAATCAAAATACTTATAAGTTATATTATGATATATTTTAATATTTACCTACACACAATATTATCAATATGTTCTAAAAAATGTAATAATCCAAAAAAAAAGTAGCGAGTAATTTAGTAAAAATTACTACAAAAAAGTAACTTAAATTACATATAAGTTACTTACAATAAAATGTAATTAAATTACCATCAAATTACTTAAAAAGTAATTTCGTTACAGTAACTTGTAACTTAAGTTAAGTTACTCCCCAACACTGCCTAGGGTCTACTGTTAAAAGTAACGTCTTGTATACCTATATAATATATTTTGTATTGCCGTACAATTGGAACTTGCAATAATGAACTGTCAACTGTGCCCCTCTCCCCCCACCCGTTATATTCATAGCAATACAATACGGGTAATAATCTCTTATTGTAAAAATAACCTCTCGTTAGTCGTTTCTCGAAAAGGTTTTTTATGTACATGTCGGTCGGTCAATATAATAATATAATTTATAAATTTATTTTTACTCGTATTTGTGTTTGATCATGTTCAATAATGAGTATGCTTTTGACGAGTCAGACGTTTGATGTTTATCGGAATACATAATATAATATTACAATATTATTGTTTATTATTATAATATTTCATAATCATTTTTGTATCGTTTCGTCGAATCTAATACCACACCGGTCGTTTTTTACATGTATTTAGGACTGCAGGGAATATGAAATGACATAAAAAATGAATATACAAGACTACGTTACGACTGTTTTAATTTGGTTTCTTTCAAAGAAGTTGATTTCGTTGGTGCTCTTAAATATACTATTATCCGAGAAATAAGAGAAACATAAAGAATATATTTTATTCACAATATTTTCATCATTCTTTTGTATACATCTACGATCTACCCCTCGTTCGTTTTCTCCACATTTTACCGATGACGTCTGAATCGCGATTTTATAGAATAATTATGTTGAAAATAAAATATTATAACTATCCATTTTCGGATACATTATTGTATATAATACCTAACATACCATACCACGTAAGACAGATTTCGCCTATTCGTCGTTTCTTAAAATATTATACAATTTATATCGTATTGGCGTGCAGATGTTTACTTAAACAGTTAAACGTCAACGCGTTAACTCCTTGTCGACTATAATATTTATAACTATATTATGTATATCAACACCTATTATTATACTCGTAATATTTTAATATTTTATACCGTCCCCGTTATAGTAGCCGCGGTAGTTTAAAATAGTGTCTTACATAACTATTATTTATAGTCAACGCGTATTATATATTAGGTATATTGTGTACATAATATTATTATACTATTTCGTATACTATGTCGTATATTATAATATAATAATAATATTGTTATACAGTGTGATCGATGATAAAGGTGTTTGCTTTTTTCGAAACGTCAGGCAATAAGGGAGTGTAATGTATAGGTATAGTATATGAATAACCAACGATGGCGCACAGAGTAATATATGGTTTTCGGTGTTTGCAGCGAACACACAAGGCCGGGGAATTTATGCCACCTCGTACAGACTATGTAACACAAGGGCGTGATGTATTTAAAAATATTCGGCAGCAGTGTGTAGTATTAAATTATAAACGCGGTTGGTGGTTTTTTTTTTATGCCGGTGGTATACCTACCTGTTATATTTTGCTAACCTGTTAAAAATCGATGAAATAATGATAATAGTGAAAATTAAATTTTTTTTCGACACGGTGTTTAATAATAATATATAGTAATGGGATGCGCGTATCTATTGCAGCAGTATACTTACCTACAATGCTCGTATATATATATATTTGTGTGTGTGTGCGTGTGTGTATAATATAATATGTATAGGTACAACCATAAAAGTTGACCAAGTTAATTATAGTATGGTGTGCGTTAAATGGATCATTTGGTATTTTAAAAAAAATGCACGTAACAAAATGTCGAAAACAAAAATACAGTATAAACTATAAAGATAATAATATGACGTTTGTAGGTATGTTATTATTTCTAATTAAAGAATGAACTTTTTTTTATTTCCAACAATAATGTCTAATTTATTGACACTATAAAGCCGTGAATATAATACAATTATCTGTACAATTTTATATACCTGGTATTTTCGTCGCTTTTTTAAAAAAAAATATTTTATTCGAATGCGCGAATTCCTTTGAATTATAATACTACCTACGGTTCGCTCAACTTTGATCTACATAAATATCAGCTAAATACTCGGCATAACGTCACGGGAAATAGGCACCTATAACACTCATTTGTATCGTCAAAACATTTGCAATAAACAACGGGGAATAAATTATCGATACGCCTACGCTGCGTGAAAACTGTACATCGACTCCCCATGGACAACACACCAACCTCGATACTTGACCTCCATTGCTCTAGATATGTATATGTATTATGTATAGATACCTATACACTTCTGTAGAGTAATTTTGCATAATTGCTTATGATTCATTGTCCATGCGTATACAACAGAACAGATTCGCGTGAAAATTCGATTTCAAGCACCAGAACAACACCGCATCGTGCCTTGTTAAGAGCAGAAATCCGTCAATAGGACCAAATTAATATCCCCCCCTACCCCATCACCATATATCGTCTCACGAGGAGTATAATATAAAATAAATACCTTATATATTACATTTATTACACATAATATTATTATAATATATTTTATAATAATAATATAACTCTCGTCTTGTAGCTGCTTGTGCGGTAGGATATAGGTATATAGACCTCGAATTATTGCAAACAAATGAAATGTTTTTGTCTTTGGAATTGGACATTTTCCAAAAAATATGTATTATTATATTATATTGTGCGTTTATACTTTATAGTCTATTACTATATTATTTTCTATAAAATCTTAAAAAGTCTTAAAAACAATTTTAACCTGTTTTGTTTGTTTTTTTCCAGATCATAATACCGTTCATACTGTGTCGAAAGTGACGAAAATGTATAAGTAACATTAATTGCACATCAACAGCGTATAAATCAACAAGGTATTATAATACACCCGATATTAACATATATATTATTATAATATAATAATATTATACAATTATTATAATTTATCATAAACATAATATTGTTATAAAACCATAATCATTTCGTAGAAACGCCGACCCGTAACGATTTATAGTGTTGCAAACAATTCTAAAATATATATTTTTATATATTAAGTACAACGTATAAACTTATGATATTCAGAATGAGTCCAAACGCCACAGACTCGAGTACCATACTCAGGGAGGAGAGAAAAATGCCCAACGGTTGTGCAAATGGATGGTCGAGCATGTCGGATTCGGCCGAGAAGCAGTGTTGGAAAGGTCAAGCGTTTCTCAAAATCAACGAAATCGTCGGCATGGTCAAGTACTACGGTTTGCGGGCGTACATAGTATTTTGGCGTAAGTATATAATAAGCAAAATATGGTACTATCGCAAGCACATACCGGACATACCATATCATGGCGATACCGTCGTTTTGGCGGTTTGCATTCATCCGGGAAACCTCTGTGTTTTGTATAGACGAGCTGTCGATGAACCCTAGGGTGAGGAGCAGTCCGTTCAGCCCGCCGCCCGCCGACGAATTGGTCTTGTCGGCTGACGAAGTATTCTCTACGAGGCGCCGACGTTTATTCTTCACAAGCATCCACTTGCTGGCCCTGGCCGGTCTCTACTTCTGCGTCACGGGCCAGGTGAAGCTGTACACCGTACTGTTCGGTAAGTCTCTAGACTCCTATAATATTATGTAGATACATATATTGCACATCGTATACACAGCGTAGTTCAATACAGAAGGTGTGGTTGGGTTGTCATTCGGTACAGTTCAGAGATGGGGGGGGAGGGGGAGCTTAAGATTCTAGTCGTGCAATTTTTTCTGCGTCTTTGAACTATATTATATTAGAGACAAAGTTCTTCAAAGAGTCCATACAAATAAAAATAAAACTTTCGTACACATGTAAAATAATAAATGAGATAAAAATGCAAATCGATTTGTAGCATAATATAATATTATATAGTGACATAAAAAAATACATATTGTAATGTTTAAATTAAAACTGTTGATAAAAATATAATTAGTCTTAATCTGCTAGTAAGTTATCAAAACGTATTTTATACGACATCGAGTGTATCATTAAAAATGAACTAAAAAAATTATGTTTAAGAATCAAGATAGCAAAAGACCAAAGGACATTTTCTATCTAAACGAAATTATTAAATATAAAATTCGTTCGTAAATTATAAAGTTGGCAGTCAGTTATAGTATAATATCTAGAAGACTACCTACTTACAAGTAATTTTTAAACATGGCAATTTTTTTTAACGATTTCTACTGAAAACTGACCAATTATTTTTATGCTATTCTTCGAATCACGATTGTTTATCGCAATATATAGTTAATGGTAATAATTGCTCTTATCGAGAATAGAAATAACTTGATCACAGCGAGTCAAATGGGTAATTGTTATAAAAATATTATTTAACAAGATAATATTTAAAATCAAAATTATTATTTTCTTTCTGTTGTGCCATTATGTTATTATGTTCTGTAATAAATTTCAAACTCGTAAAATGTGTAGGAAATTCCATTCAAAATGTTAGCCGCCAGGTATACATTATAATATTTAATAAAAAGTCTAAAAATGTCAAAAATGCCATAAAAAAAAACTCGCGGGGAAAGTGAAAATTAATAAATAAAAGTTTTGTTTTAAATTCTTTGATTTCGGAGAAATGGAATTACATAATTTATTTATTTAATATTAATAAAAGCACATTCGGAGGGTAAATAATAAGTACAATATAATTTAGATATTATACAACTACAAAATATATTATGTTTAAAAAACCTTATTTAATGAAATAAATAAAAAAAACTGAATTACTAAATGCGTTTAAAGGAGCTATTGGTAGTCGATGTCGTACGATTGGACCGTTACTTATACAATAATTATGTCCGTATTGCAATTAAATTAATTTATGGCCACAGTGGTTCCCAGGGTTTTTGGATACACGCCCCCTTTTAAGAGTCACCAGGAATTATGGCGCCTCCATAAATTTTACTGTAACAAATAAGTACATAAATTATACGATTTTAGCCGTAAAAAGAATAATAATTCATTATCGTCCATACGTATATTATCTGTACGTACAATGTACTGATATTTGAGATGTTTTTACTGTACTAACGATATTACGACTATAATATATTACATAGAATGTATAGGTACAACATTATTTTTTTAGTACAAAATCAGGAAAAAACATTTAAAGCCCAAGCGATTCGCCCACTCGCCTCGCGGTAAAACGCCACGGACAACACTGTAGCTATCTACACCCGATGTCGCATTCATCGCATCGTCTTTCTTTCGTCCCGATCCAATAATACTAACATAAATAATCCAATGTTGAGTGCAATAGTTACCGTTGGAAAGTAACGAAGTCACGTTACTCGTTATACTATATTCGAGATCAAATTGTACTTACCTTCTTACTTTTCAATAATAAAAGAAACATAGTTACACTCACGCGTCACGAAAAACTCTAGACGCGTTAAATTTTAAGAATGATCAAAAATAAACAATAACCAATTATACATTTTCGTTACTTGGATAAAAGTAACGAACGAAATTACGTAACGTAATAGACAAAATAACGTCCATACAGTAACGCTTTATTTTCGTTACGTTACTACCTAACGCTGTATATTAATATAATAATCCTCACCAATAATAAAAATAATATTATTACTATCACGATTTATGACCAATAATTAATAAACAAACGTTAATTTTCATGATTTATGAACAACAATTAATAAACAAACGTTAATTTTCATGATTTATGAACAATAATTAATAAACAAACGTAAAATTTCATGATTTTTTTCTAAATTAAATGTTATTTATTGTTCTTATTTATTTGAACTGTAAGTTGGTAAAATACAAATATAGTATAAGTTGAATAATATATCCTACCCTATTAGAAAATTGTTCCAATATATTGTTCATATTTAAAAAGTAATAACCGGTATCAGAATACCGTATACTGAGAACCGGTACTGAGAATCGAAAGAAGAATTTTTGAAACCGGGAAAAAACCGGAACCGGTAATTTTTCAAACTTTTTTTTATTAAAATCATGGGGTATTTTCGTTGCTACTTTTTCGAAGTTTGTTCTAGAGCTTACATTATGAATAGCCAGCCAATTCAACACGTCATGATTGTTTTTGCCTTAAACTCAAAATTATTCATGTCATAAACCGCAGTCGATTATAACAATATGATAAAATATTAATATTTGTCTAAATTCACCGAAAATAGACGTCTCTGCATCCCACGTACCTATATTATTATGGTCATATAGTAAGAGTCGATAAAAATTGGGATATATTAGTTATTAAAGTCTTACCTTTAATAATAAATTGTAGACCCGGACTACAACCGGCGTGGTTTAGTTGCAGTAAACGTTTTTTACAGTATAAATACATTTTTTTTTTTTATCGAAATAACTAAGAAACCGTGATTCGTTTTCTATTGCAGCGCTCGCGGTCGGCATCATGTCGTCGATCGGCGTGACGGCCGGCTCGCACAGGCTGTGGTCGCACCACGCGTACAAGGCCAAGCTGCCACTGCGCATCATCCTGGCTCTGTTCCAGACGGTGGGTGTCCAGTACAGCATTTACAACTGGGTGCGCGACCACCGGCTGCACCACAAGTACACGGACACGGACGCGGACCCGCACAACTCGAACCGCGGGTTCTTCTACTCGCACGTCGGCTGGGCGCTCATGTTGCCGCACCCGGCGTTCGAGTCCAAGGTGTCGTCGGTGGACATGACCGACATGGAGTCGGACTGGGTGGTCATGTGGCAGTACAAGCTGTACGCGCCGCTGGCCGCCGTCCTGTCGTACGCGCTGCCCACCTTCGTGCCGTGGTGGCTGTGGGGCGAGGACCTACTGGTCGCTCACCTGGTGGCCGCCCAGCTCCGGCAAGTGCTCACTCTGCACTCCACGTTCCTCATCAACAGCGCCGCTCACATGTGGGGACTCAAGCCGTACGACAAGTGAGTGCGACCGCGGACGACTTCCGCCGCCTTTATGATACCGATAATAATAATATCAGTGGCGTAGCCAGGATTTTTATTCGGGGAGGGGGGACTGATCGACTTTTACACTTTTACACATCAAATACTTACTAGCTGTAAAGTGTTAATACTTATAGTAAAGTTATAAATATTTTAAATACAATTTGAGATTTTTTGAGTGACTATCATCATAGACCATTAAAATAATTTTTTTATTTTCTTAACATTTCGGGGGGGGGGGGGGCCCTTTCAGTCACACTGGCTACGCCACTGAATAATATGTATACTGTAGAATATATATAGTACCAACAGTGACAGACGAGGTGATCTATAATACGTATTTTAACGCTACGAGACACTCTTCGCTCTATTTCAGAAGACCCTAACGTTTTTGAGACACATATTTTCTTTTACACGATCTTAAACCGCTACAAAATAAAATTTTAGGAAAAAAATTATAATAATTTTCGTAATCATTTTTATAAGAAAAATTCGGTTTTAGTACAAAATAGTACTTCTAGAAATGGTCTGCTTTTGAATACAAAATGAAATAAAAAAATAAAAATAAAAATTTTTTAAAAACACACTTTTCAAAATAAAACATATTTAAAAAAAATATATTAAATAATCCAAAAAAATAATGAAAAATTTAAAAGTGTGTGGTGCTCTTACACTTGACATATTAAACAAGATTAAACAAAGAAGTGAATGTGAGACTTAGCTCGGCTTTAAATGTTTTGTATGATGCACCACACACTTTTAAATTTTTCATTATTTTTTTGGATTATTTAATATATTTTTTTTTAAATATGTTTTATTTTGAAAAGTGTGTTTTTAAAAAATGTTTATTTTTATTTTTTTATTTTCTACTTTTTAGTTAAAAGTAATTATTATTATTATTATAATAGTTTTAAAACCCATGGAAACCATTTATAAACAAAAAATCGTACCTGCACTTCCTCTGAGATGACTTTGCACACCCGTCATCGCCGACCTGTAGGTCCGGGTCCCAAAATGACAACGGATTATTGTATTGTCATCCAAGACCAAGGTATAGACCAATTTTCAGAATTTTTCATCTTCAAAAAGTGCCTCAAATCGAGCGCGCAAGATTTGATCACAGACGGACGTGAAAGCGAACTTAAGAAAAGTGTTAATAAAAATGCACGATTTTCGGAGTATATTAAATACTATATATTGTTATTTATTATCCAATATTACATCCACTTTATATTTTTGTAAAACTATTTTTAAGGACACTATCCTTGGTATAAACATTTTAATAAATCCTACATTTTAAAAGAATCATTTGTTTGATAATTTACAATAAAAAGTTAGGTTCTCATTTGATAAAAAAGTTTATTTCATCTCATGACACTTCTTAAATGGTATAAAAAACAGAATATTTGAATATAACAGGGTCATTATATTGTATATTTTACAATTCTAAATATTAGAATTTGAATAAACCCAAATGTAATAAAAATAATGGGAGTGAGCTTGCTTGCCGAATCACTCTGTATATCGTCAATCGTCATCATCATTATAATACGTAATAATCAGAATTTTGAATTCAATGTACTAAAAAATGCATCTAAAATCTCAATGAATGCAGATTAATGCATTATACAACTCAAAAAATACACTAACAGACTAAAATAATCTCATATGTCAAAATGAAAGTCAAGATAGCAATGCTTTATAGTAAGCTGCTCATTTTCCAACAAAAGCACAAAGCACACCGTCCTAGTGGTTAGTAATACCTAATAATGACAGGTTTTCCGAATGTTCCTATCCGATCGCACTATTAGTATACTACACTGATCGGTGACATTTTCTCATCCCTTTAATCTAGTCGATTAGCCGTTTACGAGTTACCTATTTATGATAATCATAATATATGGTCATGGCCAAAATATCGTCGTCATAAAAACAGTGCTACTATTCCGCAGATTTACTTCAATCGGATAAAATGTCTTATTCTGTATAAAAGTCTCAATTTTCTATAATACGTGTATTGGGTCCCGTACAACGGTGTACGGGTTAGAAAAAAAGTCACTTAGTGCCTTTTTATAGAACGCCCTCGTCGACACACTACATCAACCACTATCCGTGTACACTCGTATTTTGTAAAGTGTATTTTTCCCCTGTTTTAATGTTTCTTCGAGCCAACTCGACCGCCGCCGCGTAAAAGTAACGATTTTCGGGGGCGGTACGCCACTGGTCGTATAACACAACAAAATCGTCGATCGCGGTCCAGTAACGACGATGCTCATCATTACTTCATATATCTATATACCTACTTTTATATACAGGGTATGATTTACAAAAGGTTCGGAGAATTTCGAAAAATCATATTAATTTGAAAAACTATTTCAAGAACCGTTCATCAACCACCGTAATCAAGTGATTCTGGTGGGTATAACACGTCTCTATAAATGTTCCATGTGATCCGCCACCAGTCACACCCAAACAACGTATGTTCGGTTGCCCTAAATGGCTTCTGTCGAGGTGCTAAGAACTGATAAGAACGAAAGGTTTTCTGCCCACCACAGCGTATAGGTATAGCATATCCATTTACTGCAGTAACCAAAAAAAATCCTATCCTCGAAACGATAGGAGCCAGTCTCCTTCTAGCTTCCTGACTTCCCGAGGTATGGTTTTTCAAAATTTCCACCATATTCTTTACAATATTAGAGCAGCTAATGCAGAAATGTCTAAAATTTCAATTACACCTATACGTATTGAACGTGTACCGAAAAGCCACTATACTCCACTCGTCTTGTTTATATATTCAGTGGCAGTAGTAGGTATTGGTACTTATAATATATATTATGTATATAATCCCCATGAAAATTCCGAAATCCAGCTGGATAAACTAGCTGGGCTGTATATAATGTATGGCTCGATATATTGAAGGCGGCGAACCGTCACGGTTTTTTTTTTTTTTTTGTTACTCATTCCCTTCGAAATGCGATCGCTACGAATATTGGATTTATCGGGTGGAACTATAGAACTTATACTATGAGTGGGACGATTGCGGTGCTCATGACTTAAACACTCCTCCTCACCACCTATCACTCCCATTCAATACCACCATAGCCCTCATGACTGTCGGTTAGCGGTAGGAAAACGAAAAACCGCTTACACTGCTTTACTATAATAGTACTTACACATCGTATTTACAGTACGTTCAGTCCCGAGAAGGTGCTATTATTATAACAGACGTAACACGTTTCCACCAAAACTACACCTTTTTTACTGTTACAAGTTTACAGCAACAATACCCTTTTCCACCAAATTAGATGCTGACCGAATCCGCTTTCAACCCCTCCCTTAAAAAAAAATTCTGTACTACTAAAAGTTGCCAAATAGCAAGTTTATTTATCCTAGGAAATACTAAATTACAGTATAATATATTATACGTTTTAATAATATCATTAATATTATACTTATTTTTGTCGTATAAAAAAAAATAAAAAATAATTTCAATGAACTTTTTACTATATTAAAATTTATTTAAATGTAGAACAACTCAATACTCAATAGTACAGAGCTATATTACTCTGTTAAGTGTTTTTCAATATTTTAAGTACCTAAGCTTACTGTAAACAGCTTCTAATAGTTTGGAAATATTGTTTTGATAGTGACGATGGAAAAGTTACACTTTTCCTATTACGGGTACCGCTCTTGGAAATCGTTTTAAAATACAGGTTTCGTCAACCTTCGTGCGATGGGGTTGGGCGGGGGGTCGATGTTCATGTATACATCATTAATATATCAGTATTTTTCAGTCGGTTTAGGGGTTCATATTTTATACTCTATATTATATTCTACAATAACTGAAAATAAGTCATTGAGGCATTATTTCATATGAATCGAGTGATGCGGAGCGTCAATGGTGGATCTGAGCCCTCAAAACGTGAACCTTAAACCGTTTTAAAGTGCGGCACCGGTTTACAGCAAAAGTAAACATAGCTATTTCCATACTATTAAAAGCTGTTACAGTAATTTTTATTTTTATTGAAAATACAATAAAATATTGAAAAAAAAGTTAGCAGCACAATATCGTTAATAGATTGCCATTTTTCACGTATGCCACCTGGCACATACAGCACATTTCGCTATTATATTATACCCACTTATTCTACCTACACTCGAATTAACCGGTTGGTGTTTGGTTAGAGAAAGCTGTCGGTAGGACTACTGTACTAGAACGGTTGATAACACTCGAGGTGTTTATTAACATGTTTATGCATAAAACACGAACCCAATGAAAAACGTTCCCAGACGATCAGCGTCATGTTCAGCTATACAATCTTCGTCTTAAATATGTTAGTTCATGTGTTTTGCTCAATCTTTGACCTAAACTAAACTTAAAAAAAATTATCTGGTTTTGACAATATTTGTTATCAATAGGTGTATTATCATATTTGATCGTTTCGGTCGGGGCACTGCTTGTACCTATAATATATGTACCACATAAAAATAAAGTGGCCTTGTTTTTTAAAACTTTTTGTTCTTTTCTTTGCCCGCCAGGAACATCAACCCCACCGAGAACATGTTCGTCTCGGTGGCCACTTGCGGCGACGGCTGGCACAACTATCACCACACGTTCCCCTGGGACTACAAGAACGCCGAGCTGCTCGACTACAAGCTGAACCTATCCACGCTGTTCATCGACGCGTTCTCGCTGATCGGTTGGGCGTACGACCTGAAGACCGTGCCCGCCGAACTGGTGAACAAGCGGGCCCTGCGCACCGGCGACGGTACGCGCAAGCAGCCGGCCACCGACTCGGCGACGGGCAACGGCGACGACGTACCGACGGCGCCGGCGGCGTGCACGAACGTGTACGGCTGGTCCGACACCGATATGCCAGACGAGGACCGCCGAATGGCTCAAATATACAAGAAAAGCGATTAGTGCGAGTCGTGTGGTCGAGGGATGGAGGGGGAGGGGGGTGGGCGGGAGGGTTGGAGTTTTACCAGTATTTTTCATTTTTCTCAAATTTTTTTTTCTTTTCCGTTTGTATCCGTTGTATGTATCGACCTTTACTGTCGGGGGGACGTGTTTTTTTTTCTCTCTTTCTTTTAACCATTTCTCTATAGAATAAATTCGATTAGGTATTAAAGCGGTTGTATAATATTTACGACGATAAGCGCGCCCGCGAGAGTCCCGGGAACACTTTGAAACGAACGCTCGCTGCAGTCAATGCGAATAATCATCAACGTCGTCATCGTCATCCGTCGTCGTCTTATTTTTGTATAATAATATAATATATTATTATCGATATATTTTATGTCTGGCGGGGGCGAGGTATTGTTCGGCGCGGAGTGTCCGGGACGGTCGCGTGCGCTTAGGTATCGAAAAGACTGGACCTATATAGGAAGATTCGCCGAATATTCGAGTGATTAATAAACGTTTGATAATAATAATAATAACATATTATAATAATATGATATTATATATTATATTATAATAATTATTCCCGTGTAATATACCCATAGTCGTAGTACACCTATAGTTATAGAATTTCTATAATGAAGTATGTATATAATATATAGGTATGCAATATGTATATGACGACGGCGTGTTTGATATATACTGATAAAAAAAAAAAAAAAAAAAGGAGTGTGATTGATTGACCGGTCGATTTGCTATTTTAACGGGCACTTCTTTTTTTCTCAAACTCACACACACTTACATACACGCACTACACGTACATGTCTTGTACACATCGTTAATCTCTCTGGACTTGGTCTTTGAATTTAGAAAAACCGCAACGTTTTTCTCGTACAATTTTATTTCAGCGGCTATAATGTAGACGCGCATCACGTATAGTATTAGATACTTATAATATGATATCATGGCGATTTCGTTATCTTTAATGTTCGCAATAATAATAATATCGTGATATAGATCGCACCGTGACCTACGGTCGTAGGACGCTAACAACTACAACTGAGGCTTGTGTATTATTATTTTATCATATCGCGATTGCGTCACGTAATAATACAATTTAATAATATATAATAATATTATTATGTCTCGTGGCAGTCGATTCCGCTACCGATAACATCATTATATTATTAAGTCTTAATATTATATTTCTGTATAATAATCTTATTAGGTACTATAATATGTCTTGCGCAGAAGACAGACGATTATTCGGGTACGTCGGTCGGTGCAGGTTCGACTGCAGCAGAGACCAGAAACCATGGTTTCAGATATCTTAAACCGTGCCTGAAACGCAGACTGTATAATATAACTAAGTTAATATCTAATCGGAATCGACATGGGCGGTGATGTTATCGCGAGATCGATTAATCTATAATAATATTTTCGTCTGTAGACTGTCGTTAATTCACTATTATTGGTAGGTAGGACGTAGGTACACCGTACCCGTCATTATTATTACTATGAGCATCGGGCAGGTGGTGTGCCTACCTAACTTATGTATTATCATGACGTGCTATCGTTTTCATGGACTTGTAGAAAAGAAACTCGAGATGCGTCCAAGTCATTTCGTACGAACACCGCTTCCCAAGCGGCCGACTAAGACGGACGTTTCTCTCGTTAACATAAATTATTATTACAATAAAAACATAATAATATGTATATACGGTGGCCGCCGCACGGGGGACGTTAGAGAAAAATAAAAAAAGACATAACAACTCCCGTGACACACACACACACACACACACACACACATTCGACGTAGTATAATATTCCACTATTTAGCCAATTTTAGTGTTTAAGAACTTTAAGGTTAGTTTGCAATATTATTGCAGTCTTCTGTCACCCGTCGAGATTTCTTTCGCTCGATAATATAATAATTTCAAAATAAAATTAAAAAAAACATGTAGATGTTGGTTAATATTACAATTATTATTATTATTATTACTATATTATTATGATTATGTCTGTCAAAAACTTTTACTGGCTGTGCTCAATAGTAAATCTACTTACCGAGTAAAAATTATTTGTAATTTACTATTAGTAATTTTATTTTATTTTTTATTTTAAATTATTAGGTGACATACTCTGGTTGTTATCTTGAGTAGCATAATACTAATTATTTTTGTTACTGTATAAAAATAATGCGTAACTATATTATATTTTATTCTGAAAATAATATTATAATGTTTAATTATTATAAATTTTTTGTTTTCTGGCGTCCTTAATAAAATGCAACACCGTCAATTTAAACGTTGCGTCTCCTTACAATTAATTTCTGATCTTGTTGTTTGACATTTGATTGATATACTATAGATGTAAAATAGACGTATCTATACATTTTGAAATAGTCATCAAAATTATTTATACATTTTTTCACAATTAAATTACAATATTTCTTTCATCGTTTAGCCACTATCGTCACACGCCTTTTATACAATTTATACACAAATACGTGTCACATAAAAATATAGACTAATACCTTACCTATTAATCTAAATATCGCGATAAAATTTATTCTTATCAATCGATGGCACGAAATGGTTTTATTATTAACAGTAACGTTTAATAATTTAAATTTTTAAATTTCTACAAAATCATTTATTTTCAATCTATATAAAAAAAAAAAAACTATTTATAAGATGTCTTGAATTGTTAGATCACATAAAACAATTACTAAATTGTATTTTTTTATGAACTATCAAAATAATTAATTATAATTGAAATTTGTACCTTATAACTTAATATATTATTACATGTAACGAAACCTATAAATTATAATTATAGCGATTTGGAATAATTAAAAATATTCGATACACATGTTTAACTATAGTACCTATTTTATGTTTATTTACGAATATAATATACTTACTATTAAACAAATTGAGCTGTACAATAATTTGTTTTCGACTTAATATTACGACTAGTTTAAGTTAATGTTAAATGCAATTGTTTATTTTTATTCACACGATCGATGTATTATATAGAAAAAAAAAATCACTGTTGGTCTAATCCAAACCGATTAAAAGGGTAGTATTAAATATACAAGGCTTTGCACCTAAATTATTCGTATTTTTCGAGTTCAGTATAAAATAATTTGACTGACAAAACCTTTTTTTTCGGGTTCAGAAAAATATAATATCATAATGCTCTAGTATAATGATATGGCAATATCCCGAGTTAATATAATAATATGTAATATTACATCATATATTATTATCTTAACTGTTAAGACTTAACATAATAGTTTTTTTTTTTTGTTTGTCGACTATTTGGGTGCAAAGCGTTGGTCATATTGTTTAGCCTTAATAATTATCATGTTATTTTTAGAAATAAATTAACGAATATCCTAGGGTAAAAGTTATTACTGATTAAAATTACAATGTATTTTAGATTACGTTTAAGTTTATAATAATAATAATATACGATATATATATATCATATATATGTCATATTATACTCTAAAGACATGTACGATTTAAGATTTATATAGTTTGGGCAACAGGACCAAGTGGATTGTAGATAAATGTTTATCAAAAAAATCAAGAAATATATATTATATAGACTACATATTTTATTTTCTGATGTTTATTTATTTATCGCGCACTTCCACGCATTGTGTAACACTGTAAGTATAATCAGCCCGGTTTGTCGTCATCGATCTTCAAAACGATTTGATATACCTAAAACGCATTTCCGGTGGTGGTTTATCCGGCGACTACGCCGTCGACCGGTCTCGAGTGTGATACATCACACATACTTACACATAATATGACTTGCAGCCCGATATGGGGCAAATCCGACAATACATCACTGTGGCTGTTTTTTTTTCCATAACAGCGAGTTTTATCTCTGACGAGCAAAAGCGTTTTTTTTTTGTCGGATATAATATTGTCGTGTGTAATATTTTATTATCATTGTTGGCGTTAAAAATAATATTATAAACGATCGATTTTGTTGCGACGATATATTGCAGTATAGTTGTTGCTATACCGTGACTCAGGCATGCACCATAGAATGTTTAAACCTTTTCCCGGTGTATTCAGAAGACCGATATACGATCATGGGACATCGAACCGTTATAATAGTTAAACTTCGACAAGCGAAATAAATGAAAACTGTCGCGTTATTAAATATTAGGCACACGTCGACACTTTGTAAGTCTTATAATATAGTATTATTACCGAAACATAGTAACGCGTTTATGGGTAATCATTTAGTATTTAGAACGGTTTATATAGCTTCCTATTGACTTCTTATTAATTTTAATGACAATAATTAATTAATGTGTACATGTAGAAAAAAATTATATTATAACTATATTACCCATTTTAAATTTAAACAGTGTATTATTATGAACAGTTATAATTTGTGTGAAACGAATAAAAATATAAAAAAAATAATCTTCTTTGGAAACTAAACAATATATCCAATATGCGGCAACAAAATAGCTACGAGTATCATGTTGTGTCGTCGAGAAAATAATATTTTTCGTATTTCCATTTTGTTTTTAATGGCTGTTTCGGAGATATTTTAATACTTTCAGTAATAACATAACAAGAATTAATAAAAAAAAAAAGCTAAAATAATAATATTACATTGTTTTGAAGTACAAGATATGACGGCGTATAGTATAGGCAATCTTACTACATTGCTGTCAACAATATGGAGACGTTGCATATTCGTTTTCTGACTCGAGGAGTGAGTAAGTTAATGGTGTTTTAACTATAATACTATACGTTTTGTATTTTTCGATCATTAATTATATTATTATAGTATAAAACTAATAATATAATATCGTTCGAAAAATGATCGATCATTATCAAGTCAATTCTTACTAACTATTTATACAACTAACAAGCCTGTCCTGCGCGTGATGAAATTGGTCGATGACGGCCAAATTACCTATCATTGTTTATACTCATATTAATTGTAATTATATTTTATCATTTAACATAAATATGTTTTTGGGCTGAGTACAAATATTTTTATTTTCTGACCGAGTTTAATCATTTTTTTTTTTACGGTGGGCCAAGCTAGAAATTTATCTGCTGGCACCCGTGCATCATTAATTATTATGAGCTTTATAAGTTAATCATATGATATTAACTAACGATATAATTGATTCAGTACTGATATAATCTCTATTCTCTACCAGATACTATAGGATGCTGGATGCTGCACCATTACGTCTACAAATTCTTACTACAAAATTATTTTTTCTGGAGGTGAGGAAATTGCACCCCTGCTCTCAGGGACTATTTCACTGACCACAGTCCACAACTACCATCCACCCCTTAAAAATAAGGAGACTGCTGTCACTTTAAGTATACTTTACTTTTAAGCTATGAATATAATATTATATTGATATTATAACGTCATTCATATAACTGTAAGTCATACAATAACTCCCCTGTTCTAATAAATTAGAATCAAAAATGATATTATGTAGTGTTAAAACTTTAAAAGAGACTTTCACGTTATTGCCAAATTAATTGAGAGTTGCCATATTTAATTTTACTCAACTAGTTTTGACGCACTATTTTACGTAAGTATAAAATCAATCAAAATGGTACCATTTACCACCTTACTTAGATTAACAGCTTCTTAAATCACCACTTTCCACAACAATGGATAGATCGTGCAGGTAACCTGCAGGACTAGCATCTAAATTCCTGGCCCCCTAGTTCACTATACCTTACAGCTCACACCATCATATTATGAATTCTTTCTATGGGGCCATGTGAAAGACAAAGTCTTTGTTCTGCCGATGACGACTAGTTTTTTTTTGAAACACCCCGCACACTAAATAATATGGAACATGCTTGAGGAGGCCGACGACACTAGTGTCTGGTCCCAATATCACTCCAAAGGTCGTCGCTTAATCATTACACATAGACAGTATAAATACCTAAGCCAATATCAGCTGATCAGTCACTCTCACACGCTCACATTACATAATATGTAATAATATTATAATGTTATAATCAATTATACAATCTGTTTTTGTGAATTACTATACACATAAGAAAAATCCATTGCCTGTGTATTATTGTTATTTTTCTTGTGGTTGCTGTCAAGTATCAACCATCGTCGTTAATATGCATTCTTGTTAACGAGACCGAATTTTTTCTATATTATATACTTAAATTAAACGTGAAATATCCACGATTATTTGTATTACCTACCAACAATAGGTTGGCAAACTTGAAATTTGTCCAATAACCCGACAAAGGCATTCGCTGTAATATCTGTAATTAGGTACCTGCACTTATATAATATTATGATGTATTATAATTGTAACCGTCGATTCAAAATTGCAAATTTATAAGGAAAACTAAAAATAGAATTAATTGTAACTCAAATTAAACTCAGTTTTAGCCGGGTAGCTTTTTTTTATTTTGATATATTATAATAATATATTATTGGACTTATTGGACACATGGTTATTTTATTAGTGTACAATATATTCGTTACGCACTCTGTCGGTTTACCACGGCGAACGTTTAATTCAGTATTTGTCCAGGCGTTGCGTTTTAACCCAAAATGTGGTTGATAATTGATTAAATATTTTATAATAATATAATATTATTGTAATGAGACATGACATGACATAAATGATAAATCTTATACTACATATTATTTACTTCAATAAAAAATACACTAAATTTTTATGCGCAAGTAATGATGTGTAGATTGCATAGGATTCAGACCTGTGGTTGGCTAGAAGGCGATTAGGCATGAAGGTACTCGTGTAGCCGTGTAGGATGCTACCTACTAATTAATTACAATTTATGGAACTAAAATTTACTTAAAGTATTTCTGGTGATCATCATTGTGATCATTGTCAAGTATTTTAAAGTGTTATATGTTATACGTCATATTGTGAGTAAAGTCAGTTGTCGTGTCTTGGACCTTGGTGGACCAGTTACCAATTTATCATAATGGTCAATGTTGTATAATATTATGTATATGGTAATGACTCTAGTAATAAGTATTTTCCCGTAATAAGATGAAACAAAAAATATATAACGTCTATAAGAACATGACAGGGAGGTTAACTATCTAGGTACCTATGTGGTAGGTATGTGATATTTTCCAGTAGACAGCATACTTAACCACCGGAGTATAGTGATAGGTGATACTATCTGAGTACCTACCAGCGTTTAAGCTGAACGTTTTTAAATTTTTCTACCTTTGACAAAAAAAAAGTTTACCACCTAGTCAAATTAATTTCTTATGAGCGTTTTGAAGCTTAAATTTTTAAGAATCTCCCATGGAGGCAACCACTTACGGCCAAGTCCCAGACGGCCAGACGGATGATTTTTTGTTGTGTATGAGATATCGGAATTGTTGTAAAGAAACTTTCAAAATTCAGATAAGGTGTTGTCCAATTTTTCCCAATCTGTCTGATATTGGGATTACATTACACTATTACAGTATTAGACTATTTCAGGGTTGAGTATTTGAATTTATCGGGAGGTACCTAGTTGGTCCTTGTTAGTCTACGGAAAGCAAAACTAGTGAATCAGAGCATGGGCATAGAAGATTTTGAGCCTGTGAATGGAGACTATTTGTAATTTAGGCCATTTATTATATATTAAAAAGTTGAGAGAGATTCAAGGATATAGTATTTGAAGGAGTTACCTATGCGTGATGTGTAGGTCTAATTTTTTTTTCAAAATTACAAAAAATTGCAAATTAAGTTAAAAATATATTTTTTAATTTAATAGCTTAAGTATGAAAATGTAATTAATCAAAATAAATGCACCTATTTATTGTTGCTTATATTTATGCAAACTTGAACTTTTAAATTACTTATATTATTTTATTGAAATAATAATATGAGATGTGTATTTTATAAAAATAAGTATTACCATAATTATATATGTTTGTATAAGTGTTAATGTTCTGTGCCATTACGTATATATTTAAGTAATATTTTACGTAATATGTAAAAAAGAAGATATTAAATTATTTTATTTTATAAAAAAGTAACATTTTAATATTTTAGTTTAATGAAAGTGCTATATCTTTGATTAATTTTACATTGTACTTACAATTATATATCATTATTAAATTATACATTTTTAAATTTATATGCCAGTGTTTTAATTTTTCATACTGGGACAATAACAGGATTGTAATGTGTTTCTCATTGATGTGGTCTCACAGCCCATTATCAGTTAGGTTAATCCAGGCTTGATCCTAACACAGTAACTGAAATAAAAATTCAACCATTCAATGGTAACAGCTCGTCGTATAGGGCTGACACGAGGCCATAGGTGCTGGTCGCTGTCATAATATCAACCATTCAATGGTAACAGCTCGTCGTATAGGGCTGACACGAGGCCATAGGTGCTGGTCGCTGTCATAATATGAGCAAAGCCAAGCTAAGTTATACGACACTTGATTTTCAACACTCGGATCAACAAAACCTATATAGGTACTTTTGAAAAAGTCAAGACCGTTTGGCATTCTGGATGCCACCAGCCACGGAGAGAATTCAGTAACAATTCCAATCTACATCTACATTAGGTCGTGTTAATTCATCCATCATACTGTAAGACTATTAGATAAACGGTTGGTAATATAATAATAATATTACAATCACGTGGTATAATATTTATCTAAATATATGCTATCGTCCTATCGATATTATAAGTATACACTTATCGAGTTGTATACTTGACAAAATTGTTTTTATTTTGTATGGTATCCTTTCCAGACTTCAATGGTATTGTATAATGTTTTATTTCGAATATATATTACTGCAGTACTGCACAGAACGATGGAATATTTATACGTTTTGCGAATTTAGCCAATAAATTAATTATAGACTGAATGAGAATGTATGACTTGAATTATGATTACATTTTGGATCCATAATCGATCAGTTGCATTAAGATATGTGATGGATAGTTGAAATCATGTAAGATGGTTTATTTTTAAACGCGTACGAGGCAATTAACATGTCAATAATTCGTACAATACTAACATGAATTTATAATGATAAATGTGTGTGGTATGTATTGATTAATGATTAAAACGCTAAAAACAGACTTCCGGATTCTGTTATTAAGGCGCAGTGTGTGTCAATACATTTAATAAATAATAAACAATGCAATTGATGGACTGAAGTGTTTCGAAGTGATGTATATAAAAATAAATTATTACATTTTCGCCTGTTTAGCTTCTCACGATAGTTGCGTTATTTGCGTGGCTTTCCATGTTTGAACTCGACTTGTAGGTGGAGAACGACGTGATGGCTGACCATGGTAGAGTTTGTACTTTTTTGAGACATTTTTTTTTGGTTTTTGTGTTTTTGTTTTTAATAATAGTAGCTTGGAGCTGAAAAATAAACACGAAACCAAAATTATAGAAACGTTTTTGCACTTAAAATATTATAGAATAAATATTGTACTGTGTTTGAGGACGGCTCGATATATTAACAAAATATTTAAAAAAAATAATTATAATAATATCGCTGGGAAAACAATCGAAATATTGGTTAGTCTCTCATGAGTAATAAACTAATTGCTGTGAATAATATAATTACTCATATTATAAATAATAAATATAATAATAATATACTATATCAATAATACTCACTGAAAGGCCTGATGGGATGGTGTCCCCACAAGTAGGTCCTCTTCACCGGTGACAAGTAGCTGTTCCTCAGATAAGATTTTGCGGGTGGCCTGTACGATGAGCTAACTGGAGTGAAGGGTTTCAGATGTGGGTATTCCCACCACCATGGGTCCCGGACGTATCTGGACCTGGGTGTGTATACGCTCGGCTCAAACAACTCGGACAGTGGTCGTCTCTTAACGCCGCCGGTCGAGTAAATAGGTAAACCTGTTGTAGAACAACATCAACATTAAATACCACATATTGTCATATTGGCGCCTAGAGTACAAGTGGTACAATAAGTGACATTATTTGAATTACGTAATAGCCTGAAATAAGTGCACGTCTTGTATCTCTTTCCTGCTAATCCAGAATAAATTCGCTAACAGATCGCAGCACATAACTAATAATTCACTTATATCTCTTTACCACCAAATAAAACGAATAATTTGTATTTTAGCTGTGCACTTAAATCAGATTTTTTTAAAAATGTCACATATACCCCTTGTATTTTAGGCATCTCAATTACAGACAGCGGGCTTAGAGTTTAGCGGGGCAAAAGTAACACGCAGTTTCGTTTGTGCTTGGGGACTTTTGTAGCCCTTAACGGTCGTGACGCGTAACGTTTAATATTACCATTGATTATAAATACTAGCATTTATAATCAATATAATCAATGATATTATGATGAAAACTGATGAAAAAAAACATCGGGGTAGGTACCTACCCCGATGTGACCATAAGTTGATAATACATTATACCTATATTATGTACAGGCGTTATTTTTTTTTTTACCAAAGAACATTCTTAATTTCAAAAACAATTTGTATTATTATTGAAAATATTTTTAGATGATGTCAAGTTATAACGAAGCAACATTTATAAAAAAAATTTAACATTTTACTATTTTTATCATCATCGTTTTTTAAGTTTTTTACTTTTCTAATGAAAACATCCATTTTTAATTTCTTATACTTCAAAGCAGAATATTTTTTAGAGCAATTCGTTGTATAAAAATCGAATATTGAACAAGTAGCTTATGAGTTTTAAGTTATAAGTTAATAAGTTATAATTATTTTAATTTGAACTGTAGCACAAGGGTATGTCACCAAAAGTTGATTCACTACTCCACCCATCCATTTATACTTTAAACGATACAAATTGTAAAGATTATAATTTTTTCAAAAATGTTGTTTTGTAGCAAATTTAAATTATGTAAAAAAATTATTTTCTAAAACGTAATAGTTTTTTAAATAACGAGTGTCTATTACGTTAGGTAACTGAATCAGCTGGTTTACTTATTCTAACAACGGACAACGAATGCATAGACGGTCATAAATCGTAATGATGTATAGTTTTTTTTTTGACAGACATTAGCAATGTTTTTTCACACAAAAACGCTCATTATGTTTAAAACGCGTTTCCTCGTCGTTAATATCTAATTGACTATACACTTTTAATAGCCCAACAATATAATATGCGTTAAAGTCAGTTTGTTAAACTGCGTGTCTTATTGTAATGAATATCTCATTAAGTCTTTTTACCGCTGTTTATAATAATATTATGTTTTAACCAACACTATAGAAACCGTAATATCTATGATCTTATTTCACGCGCACCTATGATCTGTGCAGTGGACAATATCACGATGATATTGTGTTATCATTATTTCGTAACAGAGATTCGAAGGGAGAATAATTTATTTAGTTTTTACATCCCGCTATATAGGATTCTATAAAGTCTAAATGTATACGTTTTTGTTTTCAAAATTTTTATTTTTTTATCTTCTGTGTAAAGAAAATATGTCAGCGATCGTGGTTTTCACCCGCAGTTTGTGCTTTGGAAATGTTTTTCCGATGCAACGATTTATTGATATATATATATAATATGTACTTCCGAATCGTGTGTCCGGCTTTTTTTTTTTTTTAAACCCGACTACATTAAACCCGATTATCGTTAATAATGAGTAGGTATATAATATATAATTATATATTACGGGTACTCGGTACTTAGTATATATTATGACTGTTTCGGATAACGTTACCTGAGAAGTTGTAACCTCTGACGGGCGGTAGGGATTTTGCTCGTCTTTCCGGTAACGGTAAGGGTTTCTTTGGCTCGTAGTACGCCGGATGGTCTCCGGGGAATATTTTGTTCAGTTCGGCCATGCGATCCAAATGATCCGTCCAATCTTGTAGCGCTTTGTACGGTTCGCTGTGATAGTGATCTGAACACGGATATAATAAGCCCACGTTATTATCATTTATCGCACTCGTTGGCACGTGGGTAGGTTGTTAAGCATAATAATGTGTTATGTAGGTATAGGTGGCATATGGTAGCAGTGCGTAAGAGACATTATAATGCGTGTTATCGACGGAAACTGTGTCGGAAATGATATTGCTATGTCAGTGGCGTAACCGGGAGATTAAAAATGAGTATTGTGTCAAAGTATTACGTGGAAGACGTAACCATGCATTAAAATTGTAATTTGTATGAATAAGGTTGATGGGACATTTTATATACCCAGCATACACCTTGTGTACCTTGTTGTAGGTATACCCAACTTTTGAGGGATTCTAGGTGAGTAGGTAAACTTCTCCTCACTTCTAGGTAACAATATTTAATAACCATAAGCGGCACCTCCAAGAAAAATCCCGGATACGCCACTGTGTTGTGTTATAAAATAATAATATCCATCGCGAGAGTCGTCTCCTGCTACTGCGATATTATTGTGGGTACATATTATTATAATAATATTTTACATACTTACCTACGGTTACTGCGTTAGGCGTTCGTCCTTTCGGGGTATTGATTTGTTATATTATGTATGATTGTATACTCACTCGCATCGATTAAGCTTAAAATGGTTCGTAGTTAATAAATACGCGGATTGAAAGCTTCTGTGGGTTTAGATTGCGTGTTTAGATGACAAAAAGAAATTATCATTCAATCAATTATTAAGTTAGATCACGTTATTACTTTCGGTGAACCCAAGCGGTAGCGGGCTTTAAGAAGCTTTAGTAAAATCATTGTTTGAACATAATAATAATTGTTAATTATTATTATATTGATACATATTTGATCATCGTGTTTTTTCTGTACGGATTTTTTATTAACGTCATCGAATGATGTTTTATTGGACGTAAGTACTGCACGTTAGGTACTTGGTGCCCTTTTTTTTCTTATCCAGGCGTGACGGGTTTTCAAAAATATAGCGAAACAAAATATTTAAATAGTAAGTAATTATATTTCAAAAAAATAATTAAATCATATTAACAAAAAATTATAATAAAGGCAACAACAACAATATTGTATACATAATACAAAACAGAATTCGGTAACAGTATTATACTTTTGGAGTATAAAATAATATATAGTTTATCAATATACGCTACAATATTTATTTCTGATAACACCTATACGTCTGTCTAAGCGATATCTAAATAATTATAATAAATTAATAAATTTACCGTAATTTTAATGAAAAAAAAAAAAAAAAAAACAAAGAACAAAAAGATTGCCTTTTCATATAAAGATGTATAATATATGATATAATATAATAATGATTGTCTCGGTGCCGAGCATTCAACGGAAATAGTATAACAGTTATTACACCGATCGATCGGTCGAGTTGGTGTGAAATGGACGAAGAAAGTGTGAAAAAATACCGCAATGGCCGAACGTGGTGGGCGCCAAAGCGGGGTACACACAATATATAGAAATTCCGCGATAACAAAAATAACAGTAAACAAAATATAAACATAATATTATAATATATCAGTATTCTCGCTTTGGCTGCACGTGACATTTGCGATATTTTTCCGAAACCGTTTGCGGAAAGAAAATTAAATTTGATCAATGTATTACTATTATTAATATGATTATTATTGCTGTTTTGATTAGATTGTTGGTTGTGTACAGAGATTATAATATAGCTTCTGCAGAAATAGTATTATTATTATTATTATAGCGGTACATATTATTATAGTATTATTATATTATGTAGCGGTGGTTGGTTTGCGTGTTCGGCGACGTCGTCATCAGTACGTACCGTATGAAGGGTAGCGGTCGGAGTGGTAGTTGTGCGGGTAAATGTTCCTGGGCGAAATGCCGTATGTGTCTCTGGAGATTGGCAGGTAACGGTATCCCGGTGTGTTGATTCTGTCCGATGGGTGCTTTGGGTCGTCGTAGATGGACTTATAGCTGGGCCATGTCGGGTAGTCGGCGCTCAAGATGGGCCTGAACACTCCCCTGCCGGGGGTGTGGTAGTGTGTGATTTCCGGTGCCCTCATGTCGTCGGATCCTGTTTGCGGAAAGCATAAACAGAAACAATATCGTTAGAACGCCGCAATATATGATTGAAATTATCACATATTAGCACATAGCACACATTAGCACATGAATAATATTGTTTTATTTTAAAATCAAATCACATGTTGATAGGTCTGAAATTGTTGCATGGGGTCGAGTGGTGTAAAAATCTTAAGTAAGATTCTATTAATTTGAAATTTTAAGTTTAATGGAACCAGGAAAGTATGGGAAATTAATAATTATAATAAAAGTAACTAAAAATAATAAGTGACGATTATTCAAATGTTTGAAAAATATGTATGTATTATGATATTTTATTATATTAGTATAGGTATTGATATTGATTATTACATTTGATTTTAATAAACAGTATCAAGTTGATGGGATGGACCACTTGCCAAAATCAGTAGGTGGTGGAATCGTTAGGGTGTTTAAAACGACTTATACTGGTAGAATCGATGGAATTAGCTGTCATATGTTGTCCCTATATATGGTTAAAGCTGAAACACGACTGCGTATTTGATTGAAAAACGCGTTTATATCCAAATGGCCAGCGATTTGCATTTATTATTGGATTGTCGAAACCCTACTGAAACCCTTTTATCGCGCAATAGATATATATCAGTGTATATTTAGTTGCCGATTAAACGAACGTCTAGGGAACTGCAGTTATTCAAATCGAAAGCGTGGTTATTTAATATTCATCTTGGAATGCGTTGTTTATAAAATAGTTCCCCGACACTACACAATATAATGGATATAAATAGATTTTATTGAGCATTTCGGTTTCAGTAAGTTGGTTGATGGTTCATGTATTATCATCAAAATTGTTTCGGATAAAAATTGAATTATCACTAAATGTACCGTTACGAACATTTGGCTCTCTTCGTTTTACCCATACATACAGCTGCTATAATTTGCGTGAATTGTATTTGAATTAATATTATTAATACAATTAAAAATAATAATAATAAGATGACATAAAAAATGTATTAGCCTAGTTTTATTTGAATAGACGTGGTGGTGCAGTGCGTTTTAACAATCTCGAGAATCTATTTTAAAATTTAAAATAAAAATGTTCCAATTAAAAGACGCCTACGAGTTGTTATGACAACATGAATACGGTTTTACAACAAAACTGTCTTTACTGTAACGTGCTGAATATAGGTAGGTACTACTTAAGCCGAGTCATCCTAGTTTCTACAACGATGATAATAAATTTAACTGTCTGTCGTCGCTTGTTTTTTACTGTCGGTCAGAATATAACGACCAACAGAAATAACTCGTATTACAAAACGCGCACATACGATCAGAAAGTCTCTCGAAAGCAGAACTTTGTTTTTTATGTTATTCATACGATTTCGAATGCGTCTGCAGACGAGCGGGAAAAATATATCTAATGATGTGAAAAAAAATCGCACTGCGGCCTAATCATATTAATAATATTATAATATGCTCATCACACGTACCTTTTAATGCTCTGACGTAGGATTGCCAGAATCTGGCTTTTCTCTGGATGGGTTCGTTCCTGCCGATCATGTCCAGGTGTTGTTTCAACATTTTCGTGTTCTTGTGTGGCTACGGTGTAATGAATTAAAAACGAGAGACTTCCTGTAAACAGAAGAAAAAAAGACATGCCGTTACTTTTAGATGTATATATACGCTAGGCGTTGTGACCCTCTTCAATCTGGAGGATGTGACGAGGGTTAGCCATCGTGTGACCGACACACAATTACAGTGAAACAGGAGTATGGCGCGCAGTCGATTTACAGTTTAAAACGAATTACGCGGGCTTTGAACGGTCAATTGTAGAAACACTTTGTCTACAACTGCTGTACACTTCTTTGGATGACATTTAGAAAACACATTGCTATTAAGAACTCAATTTAAGTGTCCCATATACTTGTACCACGTGTTTGGGAGTTTATATTGGCGTTTGTATAGTTCGAACTATTACCTACTGAAGAAAAAAAATGTTAGCAGAAATCGAAGACAAATTTTTACTGTTAGCACTCTATAAAAGTAAACGATTGTAGTTTTAATTTTTAAATGTATTTATTGTTGAATAATATTGAAGATAATAAATTATGTTCATAAAAATGCTAGGGAGTAACTGTAAATTTAATTGGTTTTATCACAAAACGCGTTTAAACGGTCCACCTTTTCACGAAAGCGCGGTCACCATAATATTTTGTATACAGAACATAAAGTTTAATTTATTATTGTAAATTAAAAATCCTTAAAATTATTTAAAAGTGTCAAAACAATTCGATTCGTATCCCGAGCGTATTAAAAAAAAAATATTATTGAAGTGAAATATTATTGTAATTACCTATTATTTTATTTGGTAAATTAAACTTGTCGGATGTTAATATTGTTAGTTGCGTAAACTTTTAAGTAATTTTTCTTGAAAGCCGATTAAAAATAAAACGGTTATATTATAATAAATCAATAAACAAATTTGTTTGGATATCGAGAGATGATAACGAAATATCGTGAATGATATGAAAAGTAATTCCGTTTCAAACGTTAAGTCGGTTGCCTACCTGTTGTAAGTGAGTCAGATAAATGTACCGCACCAGTCAGCCACGCAAGTTCGAAGTATACTGAAGATTCCTATTTAAACGATACCATCATCGGCATTTCCCGAACTACGCACGTATTGTTGTTTTGGCCGAATAGTATTTTTAAATTAGTGTTGGTTATGATAAATATTGCGAGCGATTGGAGGGAGAAGCGAAACTCAAGTGCAGAATTGGCATCTGGAAACCGTTGGGGGCTACACGACAGTTTCCCGTGGGCTTTTTTTGGCATACACCGCCCCAGCCGGCTCTATTATTATACCGTAATTTGCACGCATCTTTAAAAGTGACGCCTGTTTATTGGCCATTTGACCTTGATGAATTTTGCTCTATTATTATTATTATTTTTTTTTTTTTTTGATTTCTTTTCTGGTTGTTATTCGCTTTCCCGTAAATCCCGAGATCGTCGGATGTTGATGACAAGTAGGACTTTGTTTTTTATCCGAAGATAAAGATGTATATACCAATGATAATAAGCTGTTGACAGCCTGCTGCTATGATATAATGTTATTATTAATGTAGTTATTGACCGAGGTTGTATTATTTACTAACGCGTATATTTCGGACAGTAATAATAGATCCATCGGCGGAGCTTTTGATATTAAAAAAAAAAATAATAAAATCACTACCTACCTATATATTAGTTTATATTATTATATCAATATTTTACTGGTTAACGTGTTGGATGCAAATCCAATTATAATATGTCGATAACGACTTTTACTGTCTGGAAAAGCAATTAAATTTCATTATAATTAGAACATCTTTTAAGATTATGCAATTATTCAACGGGCTATTGACTGATGCATGCGTAAATTCGAAGCCAAATGATGGTTTTTTGGACTTGTGTACAAATAGACGTTGATCATTGGCACCGGGTCAAGTATTTTCCTTGAGAAAGGTTAGGCCAACAGCCCCGTGTTCAGCCGAGACCCATTTATATTATTTTGTCTAAGGACGGCTGACTAATGAGTTTTTTTTAGGGTTCTCGAGTACGTTTTTACAAAATCCGAAAGCGAAATCCATCGTGTCTGACCATGAAAATGTATAGGTAACTAGATAATATTAATTGTGCTTTCTATTATTATTTATTTAAAATTGTATTGGCAAAGTCAGTTGATACCTAATTTATAATAATGATAGGGGTAATAAACACGTACCCAAAAATACACACTCCCGAAATCTATTGAGTCGTGTCGATGATTAATTGTTATGTTTAAATTTTGAATAGTAAATTGTTCTCACAGATAGGTATAGGTTAGCTGTTCAGATATTCATATTTTAAAATATTTGATAATATTATTAAAATGTTATTATCCATGTACCTACAATATTAGTTGTTATATTTAATATAAATTTAACTCATTTTGTTATTATAAAGATAAATTAATGTAATATTTATATTATAAACAACTCTGTGTGTACTCTATTACCCTTTTGGGTGCCAATATTATTTATTATTGATATTGAAAAATATAATACATACATTTTTTGTACTGTATAATAAGTATATAGAATACAAAAGGTTTTTAATGGTTACTGTGTTTTTAAGATAAAAGTTAGTTCATACTAGGTTTATTAGGTAGGTACATTATAATATTTTATTTTACTAATCGGGTGTATGGTAGACAGTGTAACAGATTAGGTAGGTTAATATTATTATCCACCGGAATTTATATTTTATGGTTACACGCTGCGCTCAAAAATGAATAATTATTGAAACACTACTATCATATTTTTATTGCACGATAATAATAAATTCTCGTCGTTATTTTACATTTCGCGATCCTTATAGTATTGTGCAAACTAGTAGACTTTAAAGATAGACATCCCGCAAACCACTAATCTGCCGCCGTCATACCGACTATGGATGGTGGCCAAGACTTATAATAAACCCGAGGAATCCGGGCCAACCACCGTTCGTTTGCACTTCGCTTATTTCGGACACACAATCGGACAGACCGAAAGCCCACTGACCGAAAAAGGGAAAACCCGAATTGTATTTTACTGTAAGTCCGCCAACTAGGCTACGCGCGTATATTGTACGGTTAATGGAAGAAAATATTATTGAAAAAAAAAAAATTGTCACGACGCGTATTATACAGGTATAGCTGTTATAAGATGCGAATTCGAGAAACGAAACTTTAGATATTATATTTCTGCAATTGGACCAATCACAAAAGCTATACAATCGAATTGTATTGTACCTACATTTTTTTACCATATTGTTTTAATTTTTTATTTCTAAGGTTTTTTTCTTGTTATCGTTTTATTGACCATCAATATTATATTGAAATAATGATATATCGCTTGATATTAATTGTAGTGTTTGGGTTTTATATTTATGCTTTGATATTTAATTATATAAACTGTAACAATTATATAAATTGTAAGGGTACCGATATGTTTATTTTTTTTATCAAAGTAGTTATTGTAAGTTGTAATTATTTTTAACTATACTATAACTATGACTTGTACTACATTACAATTTTAAGTTATAACATTAATTAATTAAATTTTTAAATTTATATTCAATTTAACTTCGTCGTATTATAATGAGGTTTAATTATTAAAATTTTATGAGAAACTTTTTATTCCTTCCTTGAATTATTTAAATGAATTAAAATCTCGATTGGGAAAATTTAATAGAAAACAAAAACTTATATCGAGAAGATAACATTCAAACCTATACGTATATACAGTCGAATCTCGATAACTAGAATCAGGAGGTGAATACAAAATAATTTCGACTTTTGTATTATGTATTTTTCAAGTTATATACCTCAAACACAAATTAAAAACATTTCAAAAGGCAAGAAAAACTTCGAGTTATCGAGACTCTACTGTATTATGGGTAGGTAGTAAAATAATCATTAAATATAATTAATATAACAATAAAATCATTTAAAGCAGTAATAAATATAAAACAACATACCGTGAAAAATAATTAATAATAATATTGATAATAATACGTAGGTAAGGCGTGGATGGGAAAAAATAAATAAATACAAGTTTTATTATAAATATTGTATTATTTACCTGATAACCGTCTTGTTGCTTGAGCCGGTCCCTTCGCGCCACTGAATTATAACGGATGGTACTTTTTTTCGGTCGCCGTCATGGGGTCCCGCTCGAAATAGATAAAGCTCGGATCTGACGAAACGCGCCTCCCACTCGGCCCCCAAACAATACTCGGTCGTGTGTATATGTATTAATATTGTTTAAAAAAAAACTAAACGGTCACTTTTTTTTTTTTTTTTTGGCTTATCATAATACAAGACGTTCATTTATGAAGTATCTCTGTGACCCTGGGTCGCCGATTAAAATTGCACGCACATGCGGCCACTTGCAAAAGCACAGATCCGGACGTAGAAAAAAAAAATAGTAGCGTATAAAAAATAAATAAATGCGTCCCCGGCGAGACGTGCATACGTCGAACAGGCCAAATGTGGAGATCGAGACGTCTTAGACGACTGAATATTATGTTAAGAACATCTTTGTATCTTTGTAAATTTAAAAAGAAAACATTATGCATTTTCCATTACCTGTTTCGTTACCCAACTAAATAATATTACATCAATATATTTTATTTTAATGTGTATGCACAACGTTTCTTTGATTAGACGTATAATTTATTGTCAGTCTTCTGTTCTTAAGTTTTTTGAAATCAAATTACAAACATTTCAGAAATTATTTTAAATAAGGTTATTATTATAAAATAATGACAACAATTGAGTAAATAGGTGTTACCTTAAAATCAAGATAGTACAATATTATAAAATAATGACTTAAGACTTTATGAGGTATAAAATGTTTAAGGCTCGCAATAATTTTGAAAAATTAAATTTATCTCTAATATTATGATAATTTGTTTACTACTATTATTACCTAGTTTAATTGCAATATATTAAAGGGTACCTACATCTAAATAATATAATATAATTGTCATATTATGACATATTGTTGAAATAAATAAAG